TTTGTACACTTCTCTACAATTATGGCACTAATCAACTTACATGTATCATTTCTTAGAATTATAAAGTTAGTTTTATGAGTAACACAACTTAAGCAATTTAACTTTTCTTTACGTACACATGTACATATTTGTTTTTTGCTTATAGTTACAAATTTGTTTACTTTAAAATATTTATGTATTGCTGGAGGCAAATGGAGTTACTACACTACCGCTATAGTAACAACTAAAGGGGACATTGACTTGATTCTCTGACTGAATGATTTGACAATTGTCTCCTTGAGTAAACATTTTTTTTTTTAATTTTTATATAATAAATAACATTTCAACCAAATTATCTTCATCTGTTCGTAATCTGATCACATCTCTCATACGGGACTGCGTCTTATATGATACGCGGTGCAAAAAGAAAAAAAGTTGGAAAAGTATTAGAGAATCTGTTCAGAGCTTGGGAAATTCAATGATCGTCGTTTATTGATTAAAAAATGGTTGTATGAAATTAGAGGAGCGGACAAGAGCAAGGGAAGAATTAAGTGGGGTGTTTTCCCTCAAATAAAACATCAGGAAACAAGACATAGAAAAGTGGTGGTGATTACCGAAATTGTATGCAGCTCGGTCATCAATTGCTTTGGAAGCATTGTTTCCCTAAAAGTACAATTTATAAAAAAATTTTCAATAATAAAATAATCATTTGAGAATACCAAAACTGAACAATATATTTTTTGAAGAATTCAAAAACACTTTAAATAAAATTTCAAATATTGACATTTTATTTATTATTGATACTTTAAAAGCAATATTTATGGGTAATTGAATGTTTGTTGATTTTAAGAAAGCAAACGAATGAATAATTTCCTTTTCGTCATTTATTAAAATTTTTCATATTATACTATGTACATATTATTTATTCTCAATACCGTATACTACGATGCTTCACATTTAAATTAAGAATCCCAGTTAAAACACACTGTGAATCAAAATTTTCATGTATAAAGAGTTTGTACTAATGTGTAAAAATATTGAAATTTTGATAGAATAACTTCCACAAACTTTTTTTTTAATAAAAATAATCTGCACATCATAATGCATCTGTGAGTATGCATAATATACCAGGTTATGCACTCTGAGAAATTTATCATAACATAATATTTATAATGTGTGTGTACATACGTTACATACATATATAATTTAATTTATATTTTGTATTTTCGAATATGTTGCAGGATTTCATTTTTTAATTAAATAAGAAATTTTACATTTTCAGTAATGTAAAATTGATTCCTTATGAAATTATGAGATTTCTGTTTTAGCTATACAATTGCTATATATAAAGGCAAAGATAATGGTAAAATAAAAGTGTACAAAGCCAAAAAAATTTTGTTGTAATATAAATTTGTTAATATTTTTTTTTTTTAAATTAAAAAGTTACAAATTTAAGTTCCAAACATTGAATTAGATTTTTCTATTATGTTGAAATTTAAAAAATTTGTACGAGAGTTTACATTATTGTTTCGATATATAGAGTTTTCTGCCTCCGAAAATTATGCAACTATTCTACATATTAGTTTGTGAGGGAGATACGTTGAGTTTTCTGAATTTATAAGTTCTAAATGTTCTTAGTTTGAATATCATGTACGGAATACTTTTTTATTTTTTTATTTATGCCACATCTCTAAGATATCAATCAATTCTGAAATTCCCTCAGAGTTAGGATCTATAGTAAAAATTGTATGGTTAAAGTTATTTCCACTGATTTTGCCTTTAGATATAATTAAATAATTAACCCACGCTATTATACATTGTGAATTTTTTATTAAATTATATATTTCATTTGGTTTCAAGTTATATGTATGGGGGCATATTTAGGTACATAACTATGTGTAAGGGTTAAATGAAGAATAAAATATTAGACAGAGCTGAAGTTAATTTTGACAGTGCATAGTTGACTTATTATTGTAAAATTTTTTTTGTACCTTTTAAATATTTTTTTCTTTCTTTGTTGCCAATACCGATGATTTAAGTAAATTAATTCTTTTATCTATCGTATATCGATCTACAATACATACATTTAAAGACGCACATAAAGTAACATACATATATGTTTATATTATATTTAAGTACGTTATGCAAGAATCATAAGAATTTTTGATATAATGATGTGAAAAAAAAATAATTATTATTTGGTTATCATTGATCTAATTTATATTTCTAGACTATACAGTATGAAGTGAAAAAAGGACGATTCACAATATAACAGAAATTTTTAAATTTAAATTAAAATTTGTGAGAATTCAAGTGGCTTTCCTTTTCATTTTCAATATATTTTTTTTTTTTTCTTCAATATGTACCATATTGACAAATTGTATCGTAATAATTCGGTGTACATGTGTACTAAAATTAATTTTAGTATTGAATAAAAGAATGTACACCTATAGCTACAGTATTCCATGTTTTTTTTTTTGATAAACAGTGTGGTATTTAGTATTTTAAGTATTGAATTGAAAAAGAGATTAGCTAAAATTTTCTAAAATATTTTAAAGAATTTTTTAATTGAATAAAAAAAATATTGTGGCGGTGATACAAATATCAATAGGAACCATAGATTTCACAACAAAATACGACTTTGATATTCAACAACTTTGACAAAAACCATTTTTTCACCTTATATTTTTAATTTTTTCACTCTAATAATTTAGTTCATAAATTTCATTCAACATTAAATTGCTAATAATAAAATAATAATCCGTGGTTTTGAAAAATTTTCAACCAATATCCAAACGACGGTATTTATCTCAATCGCATGGAACAAATTTTATCATGAGATACATACTCCATAAAAAAATTCAAACGAATCAATTCAAAATTAATTCCTACCAAGCCATATTTGATAAAGTAGCACATTTCCTTCAAGTCCTGTTGATTTTGGGAGGTCATAATTTGGACTGTTGGAGAGGAAGAGGAAAATTTTGTTCCAACAATTGTATGGTATTGTATTTATTTCTTTTTAGAGAAAATATATGTATATTTAAATCTTAAATTTCTTAAAAAAGTGATTGAAAATGGAAATTAAGTCAAACATTTGGATTTTAAAAAATTAGAAAAATTTTAACAGTCATTTTGCCAATTTAATGTTTATGTGTCTTTTTCAAAGTAGAAGAAGCAAGCAACTATTTTTGTACGTTTGCAAATTTTAAAAAATATTTGTCATTTTTAAGGACATAAGGGCGTCATATTATTTAGAGTAAAGGCAAGAGGTCGGTTTAGGGAATTAGGTTTCTCGCACAGATATTTTTATATAAAGTTTAAGTTTTTCATCTTAAAGCGTATAAGCAGACGCACAAACTGATGAAATGTAATAAAATTGTTTTTTCTAATTCGATTCTCTTGGAAATATTCTAAAATTGTACAAAATCAATGAAGAGACTAAAATGATGGTATGAAGGCAATATTAAATAAAAATTTTCCCCATTTTGCTCCTCAATAAAAACATGAAATTCATAATATTTATAGATTTTTTATTTGATGATTTTTAGTTTTTTTTTTCTCAATATTTATTTTATATTTTATAAATATATTTGCTTTTTTTTGCTGGCATAAGAGAGATTTGATAAAAACCTTGTACAATTTCCTCTTTTTTAATAACAACACAAAAAAAATAATAATTTTGTTTTTTTTTTATTTAATCATCAGAATTTCGTAGTGCTGAATACATACTTGATATACAAATTGTATATCGTGTTAATATATGTATGTATACATGTTTACATACTATATAAGTATTAAATTTTTCGTTCTGTTTGTGATTTTCTTGTGTTAAGGTTAAAAAAGTTAAAAAATATGTAAGTATAAAATCAATATTTGAAATGTAATTTTGTTAAAAATTTCATACAATTTCCTCATATTTTTCAAAATACAATTTTTCATTAAATTTGATTTTATTATTTAGTATATGAATAAAAAAGGAATGAAAAATAAAGTAAATTTTTTTTTGGATTAAATCGTTCCAATATAAATAAAATTATAAATTTATTAATAAAATGAATTTTCCCCATCTTCATTTGATGTATTAATAAAATTATTAAGTTATATTTATTATTAATATAAATGTTATTAAGGTAAATGATAACATATTAAAAAAAAGAGAGATAAATAACTTTTATTTCTACATATTTTTATATAGAGCAAAAACATTACAAGGATTCCCTATAAATATTCTTATATAACTTAATTATGTTTAGATGTTTCTTTTTTCAAATTTTATTTAAAGCTTCCAGTATTTCATATAGCTTCCTGCAAAATATTTTGTAATTAAGTTACCATTCGCAGATAATATTTGTACAATTTTGAATTTTCTTTTTATTAAAATATGCAATTAAGCAGAGAATTTTGTTATCTCAAGCTCATGTGATTTTACATGGTGTATTGTCTAAGGTTGGGTTCGGGTTTGTCTCCAAATGCGCCTCCATATATTCAATGGTGATTTGAACGTTTGAACGTAATTTGAACTTTTTCAAATTATTTTCTTATATAGGATAGGAGTTAACTCCAAAATTTGATAGGCGTGTATGAAAATTTGTACGTTCTTTAAATGAAGTCACTAGAGTGTTTAAAGTTTATTGAAACTTGTACAGTACAATTACCACAACTTGGTTTTACTGTTTTCATTCATCATAAATTGCAGTTCTCAAATAAAATAGAATTTAATTAATTATTAAAGGTATAAACTTATAAAATACTAGAAATGTCACAATTGAATATGGTGAAACAAAACATGCTAATTTCATTTTATAAGAATTGTGAAATCAGTTGTAAGTCCTTTGAATAACAAAAAAATTTTTAAAAAACATATGCGATATAAATTTTATATTATATCAAAAATGTTACAACATTCTTCAATTAAAAACACTTAATTTTTCCATTAAATTTTAAAAATTTATAATAAAAATTTTTATTCCTAATTCAATATCAAATATAATTATAGTATTACATTCTAAAATACTCACCTTATTGATACTAATATCATAGCAAATATAAGGTATTTTCCAAGCAAAGGCACCACTAGCGATGTTGGTGGAATAATTTCAACAACCAGCAAAAAGAACACATGAAGACTAATAAGAATTGATATTGATAACGTAACCTAAAAATAGTTATAGAACAAAAAAAAAAAAAGAACAAAATATTTTAGTATGGTTTGCATACAAAAATAAACAAAAATTTAAATGATTTTTAAAATACAAAAAAAATGTTTACTTTTTTCTCAATTTGTATATTCAGTTTATGTTCAAATTTGTTATTTTTAATAATATAATGGGCCTCTAATACAAAAAAAACAGAAATATTTTGTAAATAAAAAAAATGTTGAATATCCTTTTCAAAATATTTAAATTAAAATATTGTATCCTTGTTGAATTTTGAAAGCAATCTGAATTGTTTTACACTCAATTTGATTCTATTAAAAATGGAGGGAAGAGAAAACTTGATCAAATAAAAAAAATACGCACGCATTAAACACGCGGTTAAAAATTTATAAATTTTCATTGTTGAAAATTTAAAACGAAATAATTGAGAGTAAAATTTTGCATTAAAGAAATGAATTTGTTTAGTTTTAGAAAATTGACATAATAAAATTGCTGATTCTTTTGCAATTAGTGAAATATTATGCTTTATACTTATAATATCATTACAATACAGACCTTATGTATGACGCAATATGTTTCCTTAAAATTAAATTTGTGAATTTAAGGAATTTTTATAGCGCTTACACAAATCAAGTTAACAGTCTTCTTTTACTTAAATTAGTTCATGGACTGAATGGCGAAACAAGTTAAATTGGAGTTCTTAGTAATCGACACTTCTCATAAAATTCTGAATTATATTTCAATGTAAAATAAATTGACGACTTTGTCCTTGTGATTTCTAACAATTATCTTTTACCTCATGTTATTATATTTCCGCTTTCAAATCACTTATTCAATTAAATATTTTTATGTAATTAATATTTCTTTTAACTAAACATTTTTTGTTATAAAATGAAATATAAAAGCGTTAAATATCTGAAACAATTTTGAAAAGTTAAATGCATAAATGGAAAGGATTAAAGAATATTTAAAAATTTATTTATATACAGAATTTGTGTAGAATTCATTTGAATTATGTTATTTTAGCTGAGTTTACGTGTGAAAATTAAAAAGTATTAATTATGTTTTCATTTTATGTTTTTATTTTTATTTTATACTTTATGCTATTTATTGTTATTTGTGATTTTAATTAATTCATGTAATATCCTTTATAGAATTATCAAAATAAAGCGATCACATTATATAATGAATGGGGTTATTTAAATATTTATTCGATTAAATATTTTGGTAATGTTTGTATTTCGTAAGGGTTTTAATCTATATGTAAAAATATTTTATTTAGAACTGAAAATCATAAAGGATTTTATTAAATGCATTGTCAAAATAGATTTATGTATTAACTTAGATCTTAAAATACATTGATAATATAAAATGAATATTTAACATGGAATTCTTAAAAAAAAATTATGTAAAAAATGTAAGCAGAATGATTCAGAAAGCAGATTTTAAAAACTGGGTGTTTGAAGCTCCTATCTTTTTCGGAACGAAAGTTATTAGCAAAAGAGCATGGATAACTAAATATTTTATGAATATTCGTTAAAATCGCTGTATCCCGGAAACCTTTGACATTTGGCACTCACTCCGGAACAAAAGTTTTACACATTTTCGAGCCTCTAATTTAATGATTCGGTTTTGTTTATATTCGTTCAATGTTTATATATCTTAAATACAATTTAAGTTATTTGGATAGCACAATTGTTTGGAATAGCTACGAGCAAAGCCTATATAATTTGAGCTCGATTAAAACAGGGTTTCTATTAGCGGTTCCATAGCATTCCAAAAATAATAAAATCGTTTATAAAATTGCATAAGTTTATATCGTACATGTATTTATTAACATAAGTTTTTGTTAATTTGAATATTTTCTAAGAATAAAAATTAAAAAATAAGTTGATACGAGGGCTGTCACAGAATTAAGTAGCTCAACCAAGAAAACACAAAAATTTTGAAAAAAAAATAAGCCTGGCAGAAGGTCCTATCATTTTAAGGATTAACTGTCACACTTTTATTTATTTTTTTTTTCTTTTCAGATTACCGGCTTTTAATAGTGAAGCTATTCAGTAAATTTTTAATATGGATAAAATTTGTCATCGTTATGTCATTCAATATTTTTATTTGAAAGGTCTTACGAGTATTCCAGCCGGTATCAAAAGTGAACTAGATTCTACACTAGGGGAGTCTGCTCCCTCATATGCAATGATTAAAAATTGGGTAGCGCAGTTTAAACGTGGCCGTACGAGCTATGAAGATGAACATCGCACTGGTCGACCAAATGAGGTCACTACGCCAGAAACGGTTAAAAAAATCCACAAAATTATATTAGACGATTGAAAGTGCGTGAGTTGGCTGATATAGTGGGCTTATCAAAAAGTGCTGTACATCGGATATTGACCGAAAATAATTTATTAAAATTTTTGTGTTTTCTTGGTAAGGATACTTAATTCTGGGACAGCCCTCGTAGTTACATCATATATGTATATAAATAACATGATGTAATTAGTTTTATTCGGATATATCACAGTTTTTCACTTACAGAAATCGCAAGAAAATCGAAGCAGTTACCTTCTTTTCAATTTTTAAAACACGCTTTCCCAACACGTAATTCCCAAAAAAATTACCAGATTTGATTACTTCTTTCATCAGAAATATTTAGAATCAAAATGTGCCGTTTGATTTTTTGACATACATATGTGTGTCGGTACATATACAATACATACATATATCTACTTTATAATTCATAATTGTCTTTTCAACAAATTGCTATTATTATCAATTTGATTAATGTAGTCATAATTCAAAAACAAATTTACTTTTGTTAATAATTTTTATCAAATTCATTTTATAGTTCTTGTCAAAACGACGGCTTCTCTGATTTTAAATCTTGATTATATAAAATTTATATAAAAAGTAATGAAGTTGCCAAAAAAATGTTAATATAACCTTCTTCAAAAATGCACTTAATTTTGACAAAAACTCTAAAAAAGTGCAAGTAGAAAATAAAACATTTTTATTTTCCCGTATATTTGCGTGTAATTCCTATAAAATTATGTAGGTTCATGATATACAAATATAAGTGTGCATTTAATATAAGTTTATCGTACATATGTAAGAGAGTATGCAAGAAATAATTTATGACATAATTTATTTTAATCAATGAAATGATTAATATCATCACATTTTTCAACTTTTCTTATACCATCATTCACAATAGCAAATATGTTTTAGATGGTATGTTTTCCTGTCAGCATCAACATTTCTCTTGTTAAATACAATTTCTTATCATATCATCACAAGAACCTCATATTTTTTTTGTTTCTTTTTATTGGAAAGATCCTTTGAGTAAAACGTTTTTTGTTTCTTCATGCCATAAACTGAACGTATGTTATTATATAATATTTTGAAAAAATGTACATGTACATGTATGTATGCATATTTGTGAATTTGTTTTAGACAATATCGTTAGACTTCGCAGCATTGAGGTGAATACTTCAAAATTAAAAAATATTTTTTCGGCAAAAATCAATTGAAATATAATGTTTATTTACACATAGTAGCTTTGTGTTATATAAATAACCATTAGATGTAAATATAGGTTTTTATAGCCACAAAGGCCCACTTATTGACTATAACTATCATGAGTGCATAGTAGACCTCTTAATATTTCTGCAGAATTATAAGTAGGGCTTATTTTCCATAAATTTATTTTCTCAATAAAAAAATTGGGAAATTGTTTGTTTATCTAAAAGTTTGAGTTGTATTTTCTTGTTTTTTTCCTTTTAAGAAGTGCAAAATTTTTGTAAAACTTTGATATTTTGTTGAATAAAAAATTTTTTTCAATATATATTTTTAAATAAAGCATTATTTAAGTTATATTTGAATATGTGGCCCGCATAAAAAATTTTATTCTAAAAACGGAATGCAGTTCGAAAAATGCCGCCGTCCGCTGTTATAAACGAATAATTAAATTTTTCAAATCTCTTTTCATAACATTTCAAAATTAAAGTGTGTTCTTAGATAAATATTGAGTTCGCAATAGAGCATTAAAATATAAAAAATTCATATAGGAAAATAAAAATTTTACATTCAAACCGTTTTCAAAACTAAATTTATAAAGTTTAAAATTTATTATCCTTCTTATGAAGGATACATGTATTGGATATATTATTATACATTTAAAGTATAAAATCCTTTTATTTTTTTTAAGGTAACTATTTATAGTATCGGTTGTCACTGTCATTTATCATTCTACAAATAGAAAATCCCATATTTTAAAGGTGTGTTAAGTTGAACATAGCATGCATTCATATATTTATGCAATATAAAATGAAAATTTAAAATATGAAAAATAAAGGGCGGATATTAGAGTATTTAATACGAAACATTCGACTGCAAAAATGATAAAAATGAGCTGTTAGACTAGATATGTAGGTTTCTTAAGTTTTTGGAGGAAATAAAATTTTTTAATACATTTAAAAAGTTTTGAATGTTCGTGCTATTTAAATGTTCATAAACATATTTTTGTTTTTATAATTTTAAAGAAAGAAAGCTGTTTGGTTTGCAGAAGTTCAATTTTTTGGAACAATGTGAAAATATTTGTATCTAACCCCTTCAATTTGAATTTTTACTACTTTTGATATAATGAATAAAAATGCAAATTTTTGAGAATTCGCTGTTTCGAAACAATTTGTAAATGTAGCAATCATAGAAAGATGTAGAGTTGTATTTTTCTATAAGTAAAGAGAATTCTCTCTAATTTTAACATTTCCAATGTAATATTAAAATTAATTTAACAAATTTAAATTTTTGATCAAGTATTTCCTCGAAATTATACAAGGTGTATAAATTATACAAATTGTTAGTGTAATGAAACTGAAATCTGATTTTTAAGAATTATTATCCTATACCTGGTTTTTGGTTGAATTAGATAGCCATTAGACGTTTTTGCTGATTTAAAAAATTACATGCATAAGCTTGTGGCTAAAATTTTTAAATGGAATTGTGCTGGTTCACAAGCATATTTAAAATTTGCATCATCCGATCAAGAAGTTGAAGGGCTTTTGTTTAAAACTTAAATCCGGCTTGTTATCCACTGTATTTTTTATTTTTATAATAAATAAATTATTCAATAATTCAAAATACGTGTTTGCCACTTTAGGGATTTATTAATCTTACATAACTGTATACAATTTGATTTATGTGATTTTTCACATTAAAAATTCTTTAAGATTTTCTAAGTTTTTGGTTTTGTATCCCGATTTTTAATCTTTTAAAATTAACAAAAAGTCTGGATAATCTTGAAATATTTTGTTTCAACTATGCAATAAATAAAATATTGAGGCTGAAGGAAACTGTTATTACCTATCCATACTTTGTAAAACTTATCGATGAATATGAACATCGCAAATTTAAATTTTTTTATAGAATTTTTTAAAGTTCTGTTTTGCTACAGCAAACTCCCAGAAAATTTTTAAGTAATTTCCCAATTTTCGACGAATAATCCCACATGATCGGAAAATTTTTTTTTGTAACATATTTTATATTTTAAATTTACATTCTTTTGTTCATATATACTTATTTATGTACATGCTTCAACAAAATTTTTTTTAACATCAGAAAAAAGGATTTTCTTTCTTTATTTTTACATTGCGATTTCGATTATATTACTTTATTGCATATGGATGCAAAATATTTGTCTTTTTTTTAAATAATTTTTTACAATATTCTAAAATTTACAAAATTGTCATAATTTGGTTATAAAGTGCAAAAACATTTTTATTTTTGGAGTGATAAAGAACTTTTGTTGATTTATTTTTTGAATCTTTCATTGGTACAAAATGTCTTCTTAGGAGAATGGCTAAAATTACACCCTAGATTTTTTTAGCTTTGATAAAAACAAAATTACAGAAATTTTAAAAAACTATTTGGTAAATGATCTCATTATTCATTCCAGTCACACATATCTACAATATCAAAAGAATCTCTTTTGTGATAACTTGAAAAATTGTTCAAGACGTTTTGCTAAATTTTTATTATAAAAAATGACATTATGAAAATGTGTTAATACTGGCATTTTTATAAAAAAAAGTATAAGCAAATTATTAGAATTTTTGTATAATTTTTATAATTCAATTTGATGTTTTATTCACAAAATATTTACTCAAATATTGTTAATAACTTTTCGTATTTTCCATTTCTAAAGTTTTCATAACAGTTTTTCAAAGTCACATTCATCTTTAATATCACAATATAGGACAACAAATTTAAATAAAACATTTGATTATAGAAGCTAATTTGAATATTTTTAAATATTAAAATATTTGCCATTAGGGTTGCATAGTTCCTATCCGAACCTATCGATTCATTTAAAAACTTCAAGAATATACATATCTATAAATTGTATAACTAAACACATGACTAACAAATTTATTTTTTTCCAAATATTTTTTAAGATTCTGTGACGGTTACCCGAACCTTCTGTTTTACCTGACTACGTGGCTTAATCCAATTACAATCAATATAGAATTTGACATAAATCACACAGAATTTTATCCAAATATCCTCTACTAAGGTGTAATACAATTCAATGATGAAATAAATACATACATTGCATGATATTGATACCCAGATTTGAACTAAAGGAGAATTAATATTTTCCTACTATAAAATTTGCTTTAATATGTTTTTAGATGACATCTTTTTTTTCGGTGGGAACACACTTCTTCATGTAAGGGAAGCGCAAATAAACTATTTTTATAGAGATATCGGTCTGTTGTCCAATATTCTTGAAATTTAATGTTTAAATTTGGGGTATTAAAACAATGAACCTTTAAATTTTTTGGCAATTCATACGTGTACATCGAAAGAAAATTGTTAAGAATAACATATTATGGAGAGCGGGGTCTTACTTTCACATATACACATTTTTCTTATATATAATATTTGTAGTTACACATTTAATTGTAACATGTAATTCGCTAAAGCCTTAATAGGTTTTAAGAAAAAATTAAATTCACACAATTTCGTTTTTAATATTTCGTTTTTAATATTAATAATAGATGAAAAATTTACTTTGCCAACAATTACGGATTGATTAACTGTAAACTTTTGAACTTTAACTAAATTAATAGTCTAAAGTAATACATGAATATTTAGCAGTCATTAAATTATTTCTAATTATTTTAATTGAAAATTTTCATATCTAATATATAATTTCGATATTAACATTTATTGAACAGAATTTTTTATTACATACATATTCACATTTATATGGATATTGTTTGTGTATAGTACGAGTATGTTTAACGAATAATTCATAACAAATAAATAGAGAAGGTGTGTATATTTTTTATTTAAGAATATTACATACTTTAAATAGTTTTTCCAAAGTAAATTTATTAAATATAATTATTTTGCTAGAATTTTTTTTATATAAAATTCTATAAAGACTACAGGACATTTGTATAATAACATTTGTATTATGTATAATATCTTCATATATGTATGAAGATATAACAAGCACGTGTAGAAGGTATAAAGAAAGAATTATTAAATTATATTTGTATAATGCAACTCCTTTTTTTTAAAAAAGAATGTTATTTTACCTTTTCTCCACTGTCTGATGGCAAATAAAATGTTAAAACCGTCAGGAACGATATTCCCATGCATGGTATAATGATGTTCACTGTGTAGAACAGAGTTTTTCTCCTCATAGTAATATTAAATGTAATATCCAAATATGGTTCATCACAGCAAGTATAAAACTTTTCGTTTCTAAAAAGGAGAGAATTTATTTTTCATCTTTTAAATTTGTTGTTTTTTTTTTTTAATTTTTTTTTTGAAAATTAAATATAAAAGAAAAATAAAAGCTTTATAAGGAGAGAAAGGCGATCGTTTAAAATTAATTAAAATAGGTACGTAGATATTAAAAAGTTCATATATGGTACATATTGTGGTATGTTCATCTTTTTCAGCTTTTAGAAATTATTTAAATTAAAAATTAAATATTTATGGAATAAAAAATTAAGATTTCCCATTAGGAAAATAGTTTTTTAAATTTTAAAATTTACAAAAAAAAATTATTGTGGAACAAAAAAAAAATGTCAATAAAAGGTGCTGTTGAGGTTTCTCCTTTAAACTTTAAAAATAGGAACGTAAATTACCTTTAGGCAAAACTTTGAAGGTTATAAAATTTTTAAATGTATAAAAATTTGCGTAAGTAAGGGTATAATTAAAAAAAAAAAACAAGTATTCACTTATAGAAAGATAGAAAAATAAAATGTACATAAAAATTTGTTTTATAGATTCAAAATATTTTTAATTTATTTTAAACACGAGAATGTTAAATAAAGTTTAATTGAGTCAAACAAAATATGAAAAAAGTTAAATTAGTTTGATATTTGAAGAAATTTACAAAAAAAAATTCAGTGTAAATGATATTTTTAGCATTACTTTATTATAAATAGCCCATAGGTACAAAACCAATGTATATTGCCAATGATTCTGGAACAAAAGCAGTTGTTTTATTTATTAATTTTTATAATACTAAATCAAATCATGTAATTAAAGGTTTTTGAATTCAAAATGAATTCCGGCAAAAATTAAACTTAAAGTATAAGAAACAGCAATAACAATTTATAACCTGAAAACTCATTCAACAGTTGTTCAGTAACATCAATACCTGATGGCTACAATTGAATGTTATCTCAGAATCAGTTGTTTAAATTTATATGTTCATTCTAATGAATAGCAGTGATGAAAGATTTAATACTTTATTCAGTTTTAATGTATTTCAGAAATAACTCAGTTTTCAGATGATCTTGTGAGCAGGGAGAGGATTTGTTGGAAAGGTTTATGCTTGACTTTGTTTTCCATCACTCTTACCTACCTACTAATTGAAATATTAAAACTTTCATAACTTCTATACTAGAACACGTAGTGATGGACTCGTTATAAAGGTCCGGTGGCGACTAAAATACCAATGATAGGGTGGTTATGAGACTGACTTTTACAATCTATCTGTGAAAATTTTTGGTTTTCGGTAGGGGTAGTAAGTGGGAGTGATTTAAGAGAAAAAGTACTAGTTTTCTGTTACAAAACTTTATCGCAACAGTATTTGTAAGGCTATTTGCTAAAAACGGAGTTTTCATATACCTAGCTGAATTTATACAAGAAACATAGTTTTTTATTAAATTTACCTTACAGCAGGTACTTCTAATATATCCCATTCAACTGACATATAAAATTCTGATAAATCAACACCAATATCAACAATGTTACTATCTTGCTGTTCATCCATATGCCTTAAATCAACCTGATAATAAGTTTTAAAGTCGAAAAAAATAAAATAAAAAAAAATAATATTATTATAAAAAATTGTGATTATGAAAATTTCTAATTAAAAGTATAGATATAACAGTTAAATTTTTATAAGAGTAATAATGTTATATAAGAAAAAAATATATTTTTTAAATGATTTTCTTTTTGCTTTGGTTTTTTTTAATTTCTTTTTTTTTTCTTTTCAAAAAGGTTAAATGAAAAAACAAAACTTAAAATTCTTATATTTTTTATGGATTTTGCATTTTATTTGATTTTTTTTGTTTAAATAAAATTAAAATATAGAAAATTCGAAAAAAAAAACAAAAAAAGACAAATGTTATAAACATAAAAAATAGTTATAATATTTGGAAATTAAAAAATATTTTATTTAATCTATTAAGATCGTTAACATAGCAGCGAATTCATTCATGCAATTTTTTTCTTTATTTTAGATAATTGGGAATATAGAAAACTAAAGAGTTATAGTAGGTATATAAGATTTTACTATAAATAAAATTACTAGAAAATTAAAATATAGTATATTAAATTTATGTAGGTATATATATATATATCTTATTTATTTAGATATAAATTTCTAATTTATATGTATATATAGAAAATAATATTAAAATACTAAAAAATAATAAAGGAATTATGTATATAATGAATCGTACTAAATTAAATTAAAACTATGTAATTAGAAAATAAAATAAGGGATTAATTATTAAGAAAATTTCTATATATATGTTATACAATATATTTAAATACTTAATATTTAAGAAGATATATAGCAGTAGTTAGAAAATTATTTAGTATAATGCAAAATTTATAATAGTATAAATCCTAAAATATTGCTAAATACAAATTAAATGCAATTGCAATAAAAGAATAAATAGGGGAAAAAAAATAATATTCGTTCTCATTGTAACAAAGACGCATCCTATAATGACTTCTATATATAAATATGACATATTATTCTGCAGAAATTTTAAAAAAACTTACCATAGAATATATATTTGATTTGTACATATGTATTTACATACATTAATTTTAAAATTTTTGCCATAAAATATACAGATTATTTTTAAATTGAAAATGCTCGTGCCCCATTTAAATATTCTAATTTGAATCTAGAAATACTGTTTGAATCTAGAATTATATGAAAATCATCAAATATAATAACGAGTAAAACAAATCTATATATTATTTAAATATTTACAATTTGACGTTTTCATTACATATACAGTGTGTTTTCTCTATCTCTCATAGTTTTTCCAGTAAAACTTGTTAAATGTGTTTAAAAAACATGTGAGAAATGCATTGTTCGTGCATTTAATACATTCTGTTCAGCCGAACTTGAAATACTGATCTGCGTAAACAGACTGACAGACAGACAGAGTGACAAACATCTTTCTAAAAATGTTCTAATTACGCTTCCCTAGCATATAGAGAAACAGATTTCCGCCGAAAACTCGACATTTGACATTTTGTGTCGCTTATTTTATGCAATGCGATTGTAAAATATAAAGCCTCCACAAAGTTCAATTAGCTATACCTATATAAAACCCCGTAGTAAATTTGAAAATTAGTTTTTAAAACTTCCGTATAACAGAATTTCAATACAGAAGAGCTTTCTGTATTCAAACTATTAACAATTTCTGCGGTATTAGTTTGGTAAGAGAAATTTATACCCAATGCGTTTCATTCAATGAGAACTACATTATTAAATGTAATAAATATAAAATGTATAAATAAAAATATATTTATTAATACATAATATTTACTAATAATAATTTAAAGAAAATAATATATATATATACATATATTCATATTAATATATTTATTGGTAATACTAAATTTTCCTCATAATGTTACAAAAATTCGCAGTTTTTGGAATTTATTTGTCTTTTTTTGAATTTTCAATTTTCAATCTTTTTAATTATTACACTTCGTTCATGTAAACTATGGTTTGTGTACAGTAATGTAAGTGTTTTTTATTTAATAGAATTTTAAATTTTAAAATCCAGATTACAGTAAAAAAAAAAAAATGGAGAAAAATTTAAAATTTTTCTGAAATATTACAAAAAATTTTTGTTTTTTTTTTATATTTTTTTTAAAATTATTAAATTAAATTTTTTTGTGAATTGTGTAAGTATATTGAAATAAAATAGATGGAATTAGAATGAACGTTTTATTTAAAAAAATGTAAAATGAATTGAAGAAAAAAAAACATAAATTTTTATTTTTAATTTAAAAAATAAAAACAAATTAAATTTTATTCTTTCATATTTTATAGTGACGTTCTTTAACATTATGGCGATGAAATGATTGAAGAGCGAAAATGGGGGGTGTATTTAAATATTATTTTTGCAATTAATAATTGAATTTATACAAAATTATATACATTTATATATGTAAAATATGTTAATGAAATATATAAACATTTTGAGTAAAAATCATTGAAAATGAGTTTTAAATTTAAATGAATTTTTTGCTTGATTTAAACGAATATGTTTTTGATTTTAATAATTAATTTCCTTTATTAAAATTTTTAATAAACGGTGATTAAAACGGTGATATTTTTTTTTTGCAATAAATTTTATATTGTATACAAATATAATAATAGTAAAATAGTAATATATTTTTTAAGTAAATAAAATAAATTAAGTAAATAAGGATGAAATTAATAAAAAAAATAATATTTTCTACATTATATTTGAATTAAATATTAAAAGAAAATATTTAATTTATTTATTTATTTATTTAAACTACTTATAAAATTTTATTACAAAAATATTAAAAATTATTTACTATTTATATATATTTTTTTTAATGTTTTATGAATTTAAGCATTTATCTTATATATATTAGCAATTAAATTAAATTTTATTTTAGTATTTATAAAATGTTTTTATTAAATTGTATTTTATAAAATTATTTCTGATTAAAACTACTTAATATTTAATATAATTTCAATCTATGTACATTGTATGCATTTATTTCAATTTACATTTTTCAAATTTCTATATAATAAAATTTATATATGTATATGTATAATTTTAAGAAGCATATGCATGCATAATTTTCTAATTATACAATATTGATATAATTTGCAAGTATACGAGTATATAGAGGAACTTAATTAATTTTTAATAAAATTAGCTATTATAATATTATTTGTATAAGCTAAATTGTTTAAATCTATATTAGAAATAATAATAATAATGAAATTATATATAAAATATAAATAATATATTTAAGCATAAAGACTCAATAATAAAGAAATCAATAATAAATTTGTTCTAATCAGATATAAAGTTCAATTTCTATAATTAAATAAATATTTAGTATATTCCTTCGAATATGTATTTTAAGAGTATTTTTAAATGTGGATACCTCTATTTATGTTGCAATTAGACTTTTAACAATATAGCCTTTTAATATTGAGTAAAATTAATCTTGATCACTAACATTTTAAAATGCATTTTGACTGATGCAAAAAAAACTGAAAATTTAAGAGTTTTTTATTGTCAAATTACTTTCAAATGTTATTGAAATGCCAAAATTATTTTGAAAATCGATTTCAATTACATTTTCAACATTACGTAATTAAAAATACTATATAGTTAAATTCATCATAAAATTTATTAGAAATTTACAATAAAGTTCAAATAAATTGCTGTCAGTATTGATCCGCAATTTATTACAATATTAGTTCTAAAATTTTTCATGTGGAACGTTGTTAAAAAAAGCTTTACAGATATGTAAGCAAATTCACCAAATAAACTAAGTTTTGAAAAGTATACATTGCGTTCTCGCAAGACGTATATTTTGATACGGGTAAATTTGTAGCAAAATGTGTCCATTTGATCATATTTTTGGTATCGTACGAAACTACACTTTCTTTTTATGTAATACTCTTAATTGGTGTATTGAATAACTCAAAACGGGTTGATTGGTGATTTTCAAAATGTGAACTAATAAACTTGCACTAAAATTTTTTATTTTCACTGCAAAATTTCTGTACAAATCAACAAAAAAAATATGATTGAGGAATCCCATTCTTTCTAAAGCAAAGTTGCAATTTACATCTAAAATTTGGTATATCGTTCAGTTTTTTATCTCTAATCAAAATATACTTCAGAAAATTCTACAGTAAATTTTAACTTTTATTTTAAAGTTTTTTAAAAATACAATTTTTAACACTTAGCATTGAAAATGTCGAATAATATTATTAAAATTCAATTATCCTTTGATCACATTCATTTTGATTATTCAATATAATATTATAGATTCCTTATTGTTACAGAACTTGCAAAAAATATTTCTTGAAAGTGTACATAATAGCTATAAAATTATTGGAAGATATTTAATTTGCTTTTAAATAAAAAGTCAAAGCAGAAACGAAAATATTATTACTTATCATTTTTTCTATGTGGATGTTTATGGGAGAAAAAAGAATATAAATTTTTCTTTAAGATTTTTCCTATAATTTTATATTGTCCAGTCCAGTATTTATGGTATGTAGTTCTGGTTGATCAATTGCAATTTTAAAAATAAATTTTAGCAAACTAAATTCAAATTATAATTTTTTTAATGGGGATGAATCTTTTGACGAGGACAATATCATTTACAATAATACTCTGAATTTTCTAAAAATTAAATAGAATGAACATAGTAATTGACATTTTTCAAATACATTTACATATAGTTTTATAAATCTATATAGATATACATATATATATATCTCAATAATATGAAATTGGTAAAGTCCGTTTTTATGAAAAAACAAATGTATAGACACTATGTGTAGTATATTTTAGGGAGTTTCACAATATTAATGCATAGTTAAAAAATAGCTACAAACATTAGCAAAAAACTCGGTTCAGGATATTTTCAAGCGTCTTTTTAGTAGACAAATATTATTGTTTATACAGCTTATTATAATGTTACTAATAATTGAGCGTACTTCTGTGTTTGAACAACTTTTAAATT